ATATAATCTGTCGCTCGCTCGGCAAATCTGCGCCTGAAAAAAGTAACAAGTGATAGATAACGCCCAAATAACAAAATAAATAATAAATAGCGGGATATGTATGACTGTTAGCCTCCTATATGGAGCATCAAATAATAGCAATAAGATGGCAACAACCTACAAGATCCAAATATTTTGTTTGAAAGTAGGATTAAAAAACAGTGAATATTTGTTTACATAGTACATGGCGCATTCTATCAAGTTGGATGGCAACACTGCCTTTTTATTGAAATTTGAATATCACCAGAAGTGCACAGATCACAGGACACAACTGTCGCCGTGCTTTTGAAATCATGGACAGACAGAGGGCATGAAAGAACTCTTTGCCATCATTTCCCCCATATCAGGGCTTTTGATCTCCCTCTACGCTGACAACTATGAATATCACCAGAAGTGCACAGATCACAGGACACAACTGTCGCCGTGCGTTTGAATCATGGACAGACAGAGAGCATGAAAGAACTCTTTGCCATCATTTCCCCCATATCAGGGCTTTTGATCTCCCTCTACGCTGACAACTATGGTATCCACTAGTATGCACAAGGGCATCCGCTCATCACGGTGCTTTTATCTTTTATGGTAGGGTTGATAGATAACGCCCAAATAACAAAATAGATATTAAGATAGCGGGATATGTATGACTGTTAGCCTCCTATATGGAGCATCAAATAATAGCAATAAGATGGCTACAAGCTACAAGATCCAAATATTTTGTTTGAAAGTAGGATTACAAAACAGTGAATAATTGTTTACATAGTACATGGCGCATTCTACCAAGTTGGATGACAACGCTGCCTTTTTATTGAAATATGAATATCACCAGAAGTGCACAGATCACAGGTCATAACTGTCGCCGTACGTTTGAAATCATGGACAGACAGAGAGCATGAAAGAACTCTTTACCACCATTTCACCCACGTCAGGGCTTTCGATCTCCCTCTACGCTGACAACTATGGTATCCGCGTGTATGCACAAGGGCATCCACTCATCACAGTGCTTTTATGGTAGGGTTAATTTTTGTGTTGTTCATTGGATTCAGTGATTCTAAAACGATATTTATACGTACGGGCGTTGTGACCATAATTGTGTGTTTAGTGAAATCGGGCATGTAAATTGACTGCGGCAAGTGTAAACTCACAATGGGCAAAGTCTCACTGCCACACACATGTGTGGTCCGCCCAAAAAAAGTTTTCCCCGGCGGCCCGCATGGTCCCTCCGAAGTCTGAGAAACGAGTCTTGACTCTTGTCTCGGGCGCTGGGATTAATATTGCTTTTTTTTTTAAACAAATAGTAGCCCTCTACTATTTATTAGCTATGTAGTATTAAATAGAGGGAATCTATTTTTATTTTTATTTAAAAATACATATTTTCATAGCCTAATATTTATTTATATAAAACATTTATGCTATGAAATTTTGTTTTGTTTTGTTTTTATTTCTTCTTTTTGTTTCAACAAAATTCAAAAACAACCGAATTTGATATTTACTTTTATAAAGCCACATATATATGCCTTCTACGATTTTATTTTTTATATATACTAGAATTGAACACTTTATGTCAGGTTTTTTAAGTACCGAACCTTTTATCGCAGGCCGAATGTCAACTGAAGTGACAAGTGACAATTATTGGGCTATTTTTTAAACAAAACAAAAACAAAAACAAAGTATTTCCTGTGAATTAATTAAATACTGCTGTAAATACATACAATACAGCTAAATATGGCTATTCAGAATGTCTTTAATCGGCACTGGTGACAATAGAATTATTAACCACCTCAGGCCCAGTTTCCTACCAGTCTCGTACTTTTTTGAAAGCGCTCGACTTAAATGTCAGATATTGTAACGCGGATACAACCCATTTGTTGCACTTATGTTAGGTCCTTGTCGGTCTTTTTGATATATGTTAGCAATTAGACACATGTATATAGGCGTCCTCTGTCTTAGCTATTGCTTCGGATTCGCCCCTGGTTTTACAGTTGGCACTATTCGTGTCTAACATACGTCGACCTCTCCTCTGAGGCCGATAAAGAACTAATACAACAAGTGCAATAGATGGGCTAAAATCACGTTAATTACATCGTTTAAAAAAAGCAAAGTAAACTCAAAAAAGTACAAGTATGAGACCGGTGAGAAACTGGGCCTGAGGTGGTTAAAAAAATCATTGTCACCAGTGCCCTTTAAAGACATTCAAGCGACTATTTTAAAAAAATAGTGAGTAGTGACGTCGTTATATTTATTAGAATAATACATGAATAACGAGTCATAGCCTTCTAAATTAGACAGAGTTCAATTTGTTTTACTTTTTATTTTTATTCAAATATTTACAACAAGAGACTCTGCAAGAGAGTGACTTTTTGTATATTTATTAAAATAAATACAAATTGAAAAACAAACTACACTCTTTTTGGGGCTTTTTTGTTGTATTGATAAGAAAATCAGGTTCGAAGTACGAATTTTCATGGATTTCCCTCATTTGTCCGTCTTCTGGTAGTACTGCTGATATAGCTATGGAGCCGTCCACATGATCCTAGATTCCATTTTAGTCTTTTTCAATATACAGCATACGGATTTCCACTAATTTCACAATTTCCAATTTTTTCCGGCCCCTCAATTCCTTATGTATTTTTACAAAACAATTGTGATTCGCGATCAATTTCTAATTTATTTATTTTAAAAAAAACAGTGCTTTTCTATATATAAAATTACAAAATATATATATCACCAGTGCTAGAGAATGTGACGAGTCGTCACATTCTCAAAAAAAAAATGGCCCGGGTTTTGGGAATATAACGAGTCGTCACATTTCACTACAAATTTTTTTAGCCCTTATTTTCCCCACGAATGATTTGTTTTGGCCCTTAGCTATTTGTCGGAATCAAAAGACAGGAAAATTCAGCGCGCAAACGAGCCAAGAAACACATTGATCGGACAATCGACACCGAAATGGTAGATGTTTGAAGTTGCAACTTCTATAGTATAAAGTTATAACTTCTATAGTAAGCGTGTACACAAACTCACAATTGTGCTAGCATAGTAGTTGCAAAGCCATTATGGCACGCAACGTTTTAGGTTTAACACACCCTCAGCGAGAGGCGGATAAACGCCCGCAACATACATAGGATGTACATGTTGATAGTTATAGTGAAAGTCATTCACTAGATGCATGCGATTCACTAGATGCACGCAATGAAGTTGTTTTTCACGATTCCACAAAGATGAACACTTCAAGGGCGAGTTGGTAGGCGTTAGAGGGAACAGACGCAAGTCTAGTACCAACGATAGTGCTAATGTTAGTGGTGATGGTGACTCGGCTAACGACGAGTCCAACAAACGTACTAGTGGCAGTACTAGTATTAATGATGGTAGTTCCTCTGATGACGATGAGCGCTAGTAAGCTATGTCAAGGACCATGGGTTTACCTGGTTGCCGTGCTCTACGGGGCGGGGTGGGGCCTCGTAGGCAAGTGAACAGTGTTAATAAAACCCTAAACCCAAATCATACTAGCCTTTTTTAAATAAAATATTTTTGAATGAAATATTCATAAAAAATCCGTCTGTACTTTTGAAATATTGTTGGAAGTGCAAGTCTGGTTTTGGATCTGTTTTGACAGTTTCTATCCTGATAGTTTACCTTGTGGATCTAAATTATAAAAATATATTCCTGAAAGAAAAAGCTAAATAATTCATGCAGTCCTAACTTTTGATGAGTAAGCTAGCTAATAAAAATCGGGATTTGTGAATGTAATGAGTCGTTACATTTCATTTTGATTCTTCTCTTTGTACCAGTTCTGGTACAAACTATTTTTGAGAAAAATCCTTACCGGGGTGTATTTTGGTAAAATGTGACGACTCGTCACATTTATTTTTGGCACTGGTAATATATTTTTATTTCCAGCTGTCAGCAGAGACAATATTTTGTCGGTTGGGTGGCTCTGTGTCAGAGTAGTAAGGACACAGAGAGGGCGGTTTTACTTTAACCTCTCATGGGTGTGAGCCTGTGAGGGCCCTCTCTGGCTGAGGGGGGACCTGACGGGGCTGGACCCGGCTGCATCCACTACAGTCTAATAAAACAGGGCCCTTGACCCCCTGAGGTCTGAGGGCATAAGCCCTGAGGCCTGCAGGCTGCAGCCTCATGGAAGCTAGAGTCCTGGATTTCTGGATAAGTTACGTTCCTACGTCCCGCGTCCCGCGGGCGATCATTAAAAAAAAGCGGTATCGTACGACATACATACATATGAAAAGTTAAGTATCTATATTTTTAGTGTCTAATTTAGACAGCTATGATATTTTAAATTTTTAATCAAATAATTAGGCTAGTTACCAATAGAAAACAAAGAAAAAGCCTAGTCATATCATTTTTATATTTTGGGGGGGGGGGGGGGGGTTAATGGAAATCAGAAATATATGGTGGGATTCTATAAAGAGGGTTGCTGGGTTTTGCGCGCTCAGAGTAAAAGTGGGGCCCCTTAGAAACTGGTGGTGGAGGCGCCTCTAGTAGAGGGCCCTCTAAGCCCAAGCGCCCAAAGCTTCAAGGGCGTCCCAAACTCCAACTCCCAAGGCGTGTTTATTGAATTAATGCGTGTCTCGACTTTCGACTTTCGAGAGTGAAATCCACGCGCCCATTTTGTGTGTTGAATTCTATAAAAAGTGATTACATATATTTATTTATTTCTAACAAAAAGAAAAGACTAAATTAATAATTCAATGGCGAGAATGTGACATTTTTTAAAACTTGATGCAACAATATATCAATCACATTGACATCAGAGACCGAAAAACAGGTCAGCTGGGTGAACTCGGTAGAACGTCATAGCAACGGTGCGAGGTTGTTGCAGCATCGTTTTTTGTCAGTACTAATCCTTCGGTGTTTATCCATGTTGCCTTACCTCGCCACCGGCTATCAGTGGTTATCGACGATGTGACCATTAAATTGATACTTTGATAGTTACTTCAGATAATATTTGAATTTTTTTATTATTATATATCGGGCCTCGCTGTCTACATGTTTGAAACGTTCGAGGATGCTAAATACTGTGTTATCATTGGAACGAGCCTAGCCTGAAACGGCCAGCATATTTCTGAAGGGGGTCCAGGAAGCCGGTGTAAATGGGCTGCAGAGCCTCCAGCACTGGAGAAAAAACCATCCAGTGTGGATAAATCCAATTCCCTGGTGAAAGGTACATTGTGTTGGATTGCGGATGTTATCATTGGAACGAGTCTAGCCTGAAACGGCCAGTATATTTCTGAAGGAGGTCCAGGAAGCCGATGTAAATGGGCTGCAGAGCCTCCAGCACTGATGGAAGAACGTCCAGTGTAAATAATTACAATTCCCTTGGTGAAAGGTACATAGTGTTGGTTGGATTGCGGATATAGTAATTGGTTTCCGCATATACTAAATAAAGGTTTGCGCCTCGAAAAGCAGCAATTTTTGCCGTGTTCAGCAGCAATTAAAAGGTGGGAGTAGATCCCTGACTAACTTAAGAAGTCCTCACTGAAATCCTCACTCAGGAAATAATCATCGTCGTGGTCAGCACCGCTAGAAGATCTTGCACTGACGAAAACATGTACAAGATCCTCTTGTATATCTTCGTGTAAATCGTCTTGCAAGGTGAATCCGGTTGGATGCTCGGAGTGGAAGCAATCAGTAGTCTCCTCTTCGGCTAGACTTAAATTGAAAAGAGACATGCTGCTTAGGAAAGGGCTGCCACTATCATGCATGCCTAGTCCGCTTGACGGAGACGGGCTAGAGTCTTCTAAGCCATCGAATATGCCAAACTCGAGAGTACCCGAGAGGTCGTTCCTTGGAGTTCCAGAATCGAACATCAGCGGCATGCATACATCTGGGGCGTTCGGGAAGATACTTGCTTCGGATACCGTGCGCGTGAGACTACCCACAGTGAAGTCTGTGCTCATCGATCTTGAGTATGTATTATCTGACTCTAGAAAGCTCAGACCAACTAAATTTATGCGAGGCTTACTACTTGCCTTTGAAACTCGTTGGGAAGATTTTTTAGCCAATTTTGTCTTCGGGCACTGGTAAGGTTCATGGCTATTGCCACATAGGTCCACGCACTTTGGTGAAGCGGAGCTGATGGTGATGCCCCACGTCGACCGTTTCTTCTTATCGATTCGTCCGTGAGAAGCACCAGTGCCACGGGGCCACGGCTGTGAATTATTATTCTTCGTGAAGTACAGTTGTTGTTGATTCTGGTTATAGTTCTTCCTTGAAAGGGCACGAGGAATATTCATATCCACAACACCAAGTGGCTTCAACGGAGGAGATTGAGGATCGGACCGCAAAGCAAATTTAGGAGGTGCTCCCATGGACGAATACATTTGTCCGGAAGTTATTCCCGCGTAATTAGGCTGGACTGTGAGAAGAATAGCAATTCGCAATTAGAATTGTGACAATGCAGAAAGTAAAACAGTAAATGTGCATGGATTTACGTTGGCATAAAAGTGCACTTACATATTATAGATGTGAAAGAGCATATACTGTCAGATGCTCATACCATTCGCTGAAGCACTACTGAATTGGTTCTCCTGTAGCGAAGCACTCGATGGTGGTTCTTGGAGTTTCCAACTGGAAATACCGTACTCAGTCCCAAGTTCGTATCGTCCCGGCTTCATGGTAATATAAACTGGTACTTTTTATATGTTTGTATACAATAGAATGATATGAACAACCACCTATATATATATACATATATACATGCATGTATTGTGTATATACACACACGAGAAGAAATACATAAATAGCATCGGAGACTTCAAAGTTCCAACCCCTCAGCCTACAGGCCCACACTCACCAGTCACCGCAGCCACCCAGGCCCCCGCGTCCCAGTAGGAGAGCGAATTTCTCCGTTCAGATCTATTTTTATATTTTTAATGTTTTTTTTTCCACACTTTGTACCATACCGGAATGCTTCATCGGACATGTGTAAAATCGGGTTGAATACCGGAATGGATTGATAAAAAAACCCCCAATTAATATCAATTTGCACTGCTTTGACCAGGCTTGATGACTGCGTTCCTCATAATTTGGGCGAACCCTTGAGGGACTCAATTTGGACTTGACAGACGGCAGGCATTTGAAAATTGAAACAATTCAAATTTAGGGCGAATTTTCAGAATTAATTGGCAAATAGCACCGGCGTATTTATTTTTCCGAAGTTGAGTCACAACTGACTTTATTAGGATTCGTTTTCACACAGTATTCGAGTACAATTTTTGTGGTTTTTGGAAATTTGGGCCTTTGGGACAACCCAAATTTGAAATTAAAATAAAACATGGATTCTAATAATATTTTTTCTGTAAAATATTATTGACAAATCAGCTTGCAGAGCTGTCACTAAATGTGTCTCACACACCTCCACACTCATCCACACACACGAGAGAAGTCACAAGTCACAGTCTCAGAGTCAGACTGTCAGACACAACCGCTCTGTATTTGTAAAATGTAAATAGCCTTGTTGATTGGCTATGGTCCCAGAGGCTTGGTATAGATGCTCAATTGGTGGCTTAATCTGGTTGCCGAATATAAATTTTTATTAAGCCAATAACATAAGGAGAACTTGTGTGCGCCAATTTGTTGAGATCCACCAATAATTTCTATTCCTAAAACACCAATCAAAAGCAATAAAAGTGAGAGAAAATCAGAGCTCCTCATAAGGGCCATATTTAGATATGCATAGCAAAATACGCGCCATTTCAGTTCCAATGATATTTTATTTATATATTTATATATATATATAAATATATAATATGACCAATTTAGCCTTTTACGGGGTGTCTTAATGGTTTCGGATTTATGTTCGGATTTATGTTCGGATTTATGTTCGGATTTATGTTCGGATTTATGTTCGGATTTACGCTATTTACACCAATGGGTGGAGGTTTAAAAAATATTAAAACAAAATCCGAGAAAAAAATACTATTCATAAATTCAAACGAGGGCAAACTTTCGAGAACATTATAAAGAAATTTTACGCTCGGATCGGATTCAGATTTTTTTTTCTACGTAAACTCACTTTTACGGTTTTTAAATACGTACTGGAATCTAGAAGTGTTCAACTTTACAAACTTTATGATTGGTTAAGTACGTATACGAATTTTGTCCATTTTAATGAAATAGTCCGAAAATTCATCTTGGACACGGTGAAAAGACAGGTTCACCCAAAAAAAAATCGAACCCGTTTTTTTTTTTAATAGACAGGGCCTTTGAAGGAGTCACTGACTCCCAGTCCCGAGTCCCGCTTTTAAATAGACCAAGAAACCTCTTTTTGGTAGAGACTGTTTATTATATTTGGGACACAAATATATATACACTGATTCGAATGACCTATAATTTGGACGTCCGTTGTTAGGTAAAATAGGTTTTTGTTAAAACCAGTTTAACCATATATAAATTCTATTAGCGGTTCTAAACCTAGTTGGACTTTGAGTCCTAAACCCCTCCCTAAAACACAACAGGGTTTCGTTGGTGGAAGGAGTTAGCAACCATTACGTGATACTACCATGTACTGGAGTTTTTAGGGGTGTCGTGGAATAGAGTTAGAGGAGAGGTGTTTTATGGCCATCGGTGTCATGGAGTTAGGATGGAGAGGAGTGGTAAATGCAGGAGGTGAAATGCGTTTCATAGAGCTGAGAGGGAACAAGTTTGGAGTAGGGTACCAGTCTTCAGGAATAGTGTATCCAGTGGGATAGGGATAATACTATTTATTTCAAAAATGCCAATAGCACATTTTCCGGTAGCATTCCATTGAGGTGTCTCATCAGATATAAACTTGACGTTGGGTGTGTTAATCAAACACTGAGTAGCAAACCTGGTCCTACTCGGTATTTCGTACTCTGCACCAACCAATTCCACGGCACTACACGGCGCAGACCCAATCCGTACCACAGGGGTGAGTATGCTACTTAGTAGGTCAGCAAGCGAATACATGGCACATTTTGATGGTATCAGTGTTTTGTCAGCACCGGCTCGAATTAACTCAGCGCATATCCTACATCGTCGACTCACTTGGCCCAAGCTTCAAACGGGAATTTACTGACCACTTCTTCCCATCGATCTTTTCCAAACCACTACAACGGCTATGGGAGCCATACCATATGTTCATACATTATAACATACATACATTGTAACTTTTATATCTAGCCAGGTATCAGAAGTAAAGTGTGGGGTACTATATTTGTGTGCTTTCTTTAAAGCTTATCACCATCGGCAGTTAGTTGATAGGGTTTAAAGTGAAGGGGTATTTGAACAAGTAAGGCTTTGACATTGTCAGCCATGTTCTTTTTGTTTTTGTAAACGGAGTGGAGGCCATATTTGGTGCCGTCACAGATTAGATTTACGACTTACTTATTCCCATAGCGGTCTTCATGTAGGGGGCCTTGAAGATCAGTATGAAATTGTTCAGTTGGACCATACACATTTTCCAAAATCTTGTGAGGCACGGGCTTTCGTTTGAGTTCTCCTTCAATACAGGTACGGCAGTGTTTCTGAAATTCAGGAAACCCCTAAAAACCCAATGGCAGCTTGGAAATCAGGACCAGGTAGGACTGTATTGCGAATCAAACCAACGAGAGCCACAAGTGTGTATTCCCAAGAAGGTTTGCCAACTGCTGTAGTGCCATGACGTAAAAATGTGTTGGTGGTATTGTGAATGATGTACGGTTGTTCTGGATGTGGCGCATAAAAGTGACCACCAGAGGGCATGGGGTCGAAGAGGGACACAAATCGCGAGTGTTGTACCAGTAGAGATATTCAATTTGAGTAAATCAGAAATATCAGACCACCGAGGGTTGCCATAAACCCTCTCCAGTAGTAGTTTAATTTTGCGAAAATCATTAACAATTTGGCCTTTACATCGGGACCAGAAAAACGCGGTAGTTGTGCGTTTTTGTGGGATGCACAGAGATCAGTTGTTGGATCGTATTGTAGAAATACGGCCTCTGGTCAGTTTAAAATATCAAGATCAAATGAGATAACACATTGGTTTCTATTTGTATTTAAAAAAAATTAATACACGTTCTTTTTCCAATATTTCTAAAGTGTCCTAAACTCACTTTGATGGCTCCAATAGCCTGAGTATTTGGTATGACTCATTTACTTGGACCTATTTGAGACAATAGTATATGTAGGATATTATAAACTAAATTTCATAATCTCTGAACTACTACTTACAGATTTTGGTCTTCCCGCCAATCCCCAAAATCCAACAAGTCTTTTTCTTTTTTTAACTTTTCTTCAGATGGAACTTTATTTATATTAGCTAATGTATAAACTTGACTTACGTTCTTATGTCTATCTACAAATTAGACATGTGATCATGAACACTTAGTACTTCTAGTGAAATTTTTTCAAAAAAGAACAGCTAGAGGTACGACCTGTGTGATCGAGGATACTAAGGCTCTTACCAAGAGGTAGTCCCGATCATTCTTACACAAGCTAACACTGCTTAATCCTAACTGACTTAAATTGTATCTTAGTTTATATAACATAGTTTAAAACATAGAAATATCCATCGAAGTTCACATTTTTTCAGTTATTTAGTAGTTACCGTAGTGTACTGCTTCTAGACTGTCTAATAACTGCCTACTATCCAGCGACAGGACTGCAAGTAGTCTATACTACCCCATAGTGGCTAATACTACCCTAAATTTAGCTACCCGCTAGTTACTGTACCTAGACTTTATTGATTTTCCTATTCTTGAGCTATTACTATGGCTAAAGTAAATTCTAAAGGCAAAGGAGCCGCCAGCTCTAAGCCTGCTAAGCCTGTTGAGGTTCCTGAGGTTACTGGGGACGCTGGTCCGTCTGGTACTGAGCCTGCCGTTGAAGCTGTAGAGGAAGCCGCTTCTGAACTTGGTTCTGAGGAAAACTCTGAGGATGACTCGTCGGACCCTAAAGCCTTGGAAGTGGGGGGTCTCAACTGCCGCGGAAATGCTCGCCAGCGCCCGTGTGTCTCCTAGTTGTGCAGCCCAGGTCCTCAGCTCGCCATCTGACCGCGAAAAGTCAGATATTGGAAAGGCTATATCTCCTTAACAAGTGGATAAATCGTCTCGAAATTGACGGTTTATTACTACTAAAAGTCAGCCCAATCCACCTATTAACAAAGATGATGGCGTTCCATTTCGTGAAATTTCATTGAATGCCTCGCCACTGAATGTTGTGGACGCCATAACTCGACAACGAGTGGTTGAATCTTCTCAATCTCGACGCCATTTGAACCGCAAAGACGAGTTTTTAAGGGAGCTAGCCGCTGCCGCAGCTTCTGACCCTTCGATCATATCCCACGTGGCCGATATTCTTCCTATACCGAAGAAAAAAATATTCCGATCCGGGTTTCAAACCTGGGACCCACTGGTTCACCAGCCAGCAGGGTTGCCAATGAGCCAGTTACCGCTGGTGAAGTGGGTAAAATCTCAAGATTTAATCTCTATAGCTCGGAAGCTACAATCGACCATCCTCTCGACAAACCTAACCATGTCAGAGGCTATGATCGTATGGAAATCGATGAGGCTTACCACCCTCATAACATCGATCCTCATTTACCATCTAACCCTGGTAATCACGACTTTGGTAATCGTTATACCAGTACCTCACTAGAGAGCACCCACTCTAGCTCTGAAGGCGAGGAAGTGAGGACCAGACAACATCGTCTCAGGCTATTACGTTCTGGTATGCAAGTCCTTGAGGACCGTC